CCCAGCCTGGTCCCGGGAAGAGGGGGAAGGCTGGGTGGCAGCGGGTGGCTGGCTCGAGCCGTGCCAGGTACGGGGTCTGCTGGCTGGGTGCTGGCAGGCTTGCAACTGGCACAAGCACTGTAGCCAGACCGTGCCCCTTTAAGGGCTCCGAGGCCGGGAGTGGGGCAGAAGAGTTTCCCTGGTTTGGCCCAGAGTGCCCACCAGGGCAACCTGGGAAGAGCTAGCCTCCAACTAATTCTAATTAAGTGGCTACACAGCCCTTAATTCGAACTACTTAATTTGAACTAGGCGTTAGTCCTCATAGAATGAGGTTTACCTAGTTCGAATTAAGCGCTCCGCTAGTTCGATTTAAATTCGAACTAGCGGTTTGTATGTGTAGCCCCTATTAAAGTTAATTCGAACTAATGGCTGTTCGTTTGAATTAACTTTGTAGTTTAGACATAGCCAGAGTGAATAGGAGACAGCAAGTCAGAAGATATTTAGGGCACCAACCTGCTCAAAAATAACTCACAAAAGATTTATTTTATAAAAAACATCGTAAGTGAATATTTTCAAACAGGGAATAAGAACATAAAAATGGCCATCCTGGGTCAGACCAATGGTTCATCTAACACAGTATCCTGTCTTCCAACAACAGTGGCCAGTGCTAGGTGCTTCAGAGAGAATGAACAGAAAAAGGCAGTCATTGAGTGATCCACCCCCCGTCATCCAGTCCCAGCTTCTGGCAGCCAGAGGTTTGGGTATACAAAGAGCATGGGGTTGCATCCCTCACCATTTTGGCTAATAGCTATTGATCAACCATGTAATTCTTTTTTGTATACAATTATACTTCTGGGCCTTCACGATATTTCCTAGTAATGAGTTTTACAGGTTGACTGCATTGTTTGAAAAAGTATTTCCTTATGTACCTACTTCACAATATTGTAGACTTTTGTTGCATTTTGTTGCTAAGATGTGTGGCATATATTCCTTTTTCCCCACTAACTGTTTTAGAACTCATTGCTAGGGGATGCTCTAAAGTTGCCAGGTGACTTTTGCTTCTGATAGCACACTCTATTGGCTTTTAACTTTCTATATAAAATGAAGAAAAAGAAGTATACCTTATTGTGCATGTAGCTTGGTTTAATAAAGTAAAAATAAAAATATATATTACTGTTCCTAAATTTGTTTTGACAGCGATGTTTGGCCACCACTTAATTTTTTAAAAATGCTTTAAAATAGCATTGAAAAAAAAGGTATTTTAACTACACACACCAGCATTGCCAATTCACAGCATTAAAAAATCTCGAGTCCAGCCCCTCGAAATCATAAGATTAAAAAACAGAATGAAAATCTTGGCCCTTTCTATTTACCTTCTGTATTTTTCAGCCTTTAGGATTCTCTGCAGTAATACTTTAAAGTTTTTTAACTTTTGGCTAAAAACTTGCTTTTTTTCTAGAATGGGGGATGTTATTCTCATGTAAACAGCTGACTCCAGGTGTGGGGGCTTTAAAAAAACAAAATATTGTAAAATTTGGCAGCACTGTTACAGGATAAAATCCATAAGAAACCCATTTGTGATGGCTGATGGAAGCCTCAGGTAGCATTTGAGTATTTTGTTGGGATGGTATGTTTTGTTCAGTTTTACTTATCAACATGTAGCCCAAGGTCCAGTGTGTTTCAGCAGCAGCCCTGGGAACTACAAATTGTGGACTACAAACTGCGGCATGTTGGGAGAACTTCCTGGTTCCTTCCAGGATGTGCCCTCTGCCCCCAGCAGGGTCTCAGCAAGGACTGTGCTAGAAGCAGCACACAGGCTGCATGCTGAGAGAAGGGGCTGCTGAACTGTTTTCCTGTTCTTTGTTTTTTACAGAATAAAGCCTGTTCCTGGTGATTTGTCGGAGTGGGTCTGGTCTGAGGTGCACTCACACATACACAATGCAGAGCACACCAAGCAGCCTCAGGCCTAGCCCTCCCCCCACAGTGGTGTAAGAAATCACAAGCTTCCCCTCCGCTGAATAACCTCACACTGGGCTAGCCAACAGGAGGGGTTACAAACAGTAATAAGCCACCATAACTGGAGAGAGATAGAGACATCTGATTTTCCTCTCCTTAAGCTCTAGGTGCGTGTACTAGTCACACCGCATAATCAAGCTTGCATACTGATTGTTAACTCTCACTCCACAGGATGTTTAGAACAAGCAGTATGTTTTCTCTAATAGTGTCTTTCCCCTTGTCTTGAACAAGGTCTCTGCATTGCTTGTAATGCAGCTCATGTGGTTCTGAACCTGATGCACTACTGCATTATTCTAAAGCCCACTGATTTTTGGGAGGTTGTACTAGCATCACTCTGGAGCAATGCAGCAGGAAACCAGCCCTCTGCATTTACAATTCCATCCTAAATAAACACTACAGCCCTTTGTGCTTTTTTGTTCAGCATTGTGACCCAGAATTGTTCAGATCTTGCACTGCAAAAGGACCATTTAAGACTTCAATAGAGCATGTATTGTTGCAAGGTTACCTATTCTTCTAAAGGGTCATATTCAGATAGGTTCCCGAAGAATCAACTCCTATAGAAATCAATGTGTCAAGTCCTTACTCTGACAAAGAGCTCCTGCAATGGTACTTTGTGATTTCTTAGCTGACAGCATCTAACTATTGTGAGAAGATTTTAACCATCTTCTTCCTTACTCCACAGAAGAGTTATTTTCTATAGTAATTTCTCCATCAGATTTTTGCTGAACTGTGTTGAGTATGGTAAATGTATACATCATCATTTCATTGTTTCAGTTTTGCCTACTTTGTCCTAGCAGATACTCCATTTCAAAGCAAATCTAACTTCTGATTCTGGTTTTTTTTCTGTCAATGATTAACTTTCAGGGCCACACAGAAGCATTTACAAAACGGGAGCCCCTCTGCAGATTCCCTTTACCTGTTGCAAGGTATATTTTCTCTCTGTCAAAGTAACTTCAGTAGTCAAAGATGCAGCAGTTGATATATTTACTTTCTCATAGACTTTTCCCCCTGAGTTTGTCTAGTTTTTCAAACATCTAAGAAACATTTCTGTTCTTTCAAGAATAATCTTACAGATGTAGGTACATTTCTCCTGCATGCGCCTCTGATTTTTAAATGCTTCTAAGTCATGTAGGTACTTTTGAAAATTTTACCCTAAGCAGCATTAGGGATGTTTACACTGCTCAGAACCTCATAAAATGAAGCCCTTATACATATGCTGGGTGGATTTCTTTTTTTTAAAGTTGATGGATGCTTTCAATATTTATTTTAAGCATTTTTTTCTATTTTTATCGATTAAATATTCATAGTTGCACAAAAATATGGATTTTAACTTTTTAAATATTCATCATTTTAATTTTCATATTGGAATTATGGGGGAGGTCAGACAATGTGGGAGTCAGGCAATTGTTTCTTTTCAGTTGACACTGAGATTCAAAAGTTAAAGTTTCAGAATTCTTAAACACAAAATCTATCAACATGTCAAAACACAAAAAGTAATTATCTATAAAACACACTATACTAAGTTCTGAAGCAGAAATTTTCTTATTTTGCCTATCTGTAAATGTACATGATAATCAATGGATATATTTTTATCGGTTTGTGTGTATATGGATAAAATTGACATTCACCAATAAAATATAATCTTTCTAGCATACTTATAAAGTAACACATGGTTTCATATTCTAGACTGTAATATTAATAGATGTATAGATTCCATGTAGCTGAAGAGATCATTGTGATCTTCTAGTTTGATATCTTGTGGAATACAGGCCACAGAACCCTCCCAGAATAATCCATTGAGGCTAGGTCTACTCTATAGGGTTTTTTGGGAAAAAAGCTACACAACTTGCACTGTGCAATTTGCATAGCTTTTTCCGATAGCTTTTCCTGAAGAGGCTTTTCCACCATTTGACCCAGTCTAGATGGGGCCAAATGGTGGAAAAGCCTTCTCTTTCAGTGGAGCCTTTGTCCCTCGTAGAACGAGTCATACTGGGCTCCCGAAAGAGCACATTTGATCTTACACAAAAAAAAAGCGGAAGAGCAAATGCGTTCCTTGGAAAAACCCTACAGTGTAGATGTATCCAGAGGGTATATAGCACAATGGTATATAGAGCAGTCCTCGTATTTATAATGGCTGGAAAACAATCTGACAGATTATATTTAGATGAGAGTTTCTCCTCATTGTGCCATCATGGTGTCACTTCATCAACAATATTTCAGTGAGGTTGGTATCATGCTGTTACTTCAAGTACTGAAGGAAGAGGTTGCCTCTCTGCATTATAGTAAGATTTTTTCTGTCACTTCTTCCTCAGCAGAATCTGCAGCTTCTTCATCACTGAGAGCATGTTGTACAGTCTCTATTTATTTCAGCATGATGGCCAGGACCATTAGCATCATTTTCAAATCAATCGGGAACATCATCTTTGTCAACTTCTGTGTAGACAGGAAGTCTGTGGAGGAGAACAACAAATGCACTGGTCTCTTCTTCAGCTGCCAGTGCTGCTGTTGCAGCTGTAAGTTCACTGTCCTAGCGTCCAAAGCTTTCTAGCTAGACTCTGCTCTCTGTCAGACTGAAGTAAAGCCAGTTTACCTGATTCACTAAATGATATATTCTGAAAAATTTTACCTGCTCAAAATTCATTTCCAAACATAACATTCTCATTAATATAAATACATTTTAAAATTGTGTGTCTGAAATTCTTCAGAAAATCACTCATTCCCTTATGTCTCTACTCCTGATGAATATTTTAATGTACAATCTTCTGTCAGAAAGTAATTGGCAATAGAACACTAAATCCATTCTAACAAGTAAAAGGACAAATTTTATTCTGAAGTGATATGAAAATGACACTGTTCTCCCTTACCCCCCTTCCTGTCTTTTGTCTTTCCATTTTGCTGATTCCCCCTGCTAAGTAAAGCCATGGAACAAAAGAGTAAAATGTAGAACTAACATGACATTTGCTGCTACCACATTATTCACTCTGTGTGTCTTCACCCATAAGGCAAGGCAAGGCAAGGCAAGGCAACACAAACACAAGGGGGGAGGGAGAGCTTGGTGGTTCAAGCACTGGTCTGTTAAATCCAAGGTTAAAAAATCAATCCTTGTGGGGGCCATTTAGGGATCTGGGGCAAATCTGTCAGGGATGGTACTTGGGCTGCTGTAAGGGCACAGGACAGGACTTGACTCAATAACCTCTGGTCCCTTCCAGCTTTATATCTCCATATTAAAAAATAAGACTTACTGAAATGCTTGCCAAGTGTCTTTGAGCTCTGAAATTAAATTCTCATCAACATCATCCAACAATTCAGTTTAAAAAAAACAGCTTGCTTCTCAGAACTGTTGCCTTTGTTACGTGATATTGTAGGTTCTTGAGGTCATAGTTAACATTCCATTCCTCCAGAGACTGCATTTCTGTGATTGTTCTAGAAAATCAGCCTGGATTGCAATCAGAAAGACTCTGTCTAACAGTCATTTTCATTATGAACTAACCTTCCCCCCCCAAAAAACTGTTAGCTCAGCATCTGGAATACAAACACGACAGCCAATTTTTATAATCCCAGTGTTTATTACTTATGTAGTAATATGACTGCTTAAAAAAGTTTAATATAGGGAGCACTGGAAAGATTAAATGTTTAGTGGTAAATATCAGTAATCATCAATTACACAATATACCACAATCTGGTGAAAAATATTTCCACCTACAATAACTGAAATTTACAGATGGGCAAAGTAAGAAAAAAGTTCTTGAGAACTTATTAGAGCTTGGTTTAAGAATATTTACCTTGTATATTTTTGACAAGTGATGTTGACAATTTGTGTTTTAACTGTTATCAAACTTTTAACTTCTTGAATCTTAACATCCATCATCATTAAATGATTGTCTGACTCCATCACTGTCTGACTCCCCCACATTGATGCTTAAATCAATGATATTATTGAAAAATTATATAAAAATCAAATGTTGCCAAGCCCAAATGTTATGGTGAGGTAAATAGTGATACAAGTGATCCTGAATAGTTCAGTCAGAAGTGTGTGGTCTTTTAATCCAAGGGTCCAGGGTTTAAGTCCCTATTCCAACAGTAGGTTTTTAATTGAGAGGAAGGATGGGTCTAGGTGTTAGGTCATTAGCCTGGTGCAAGACCTTCCAGGTTCAGATCCCTACTTTACCCCTGACTACTCTATATCATTCTGACGAATTCACTTAGGGCTTGCCTATAAAGGTGTGATTTGTAAAGCATCATAACACGCTGTGCTCTAAGTGCTCCATGTAAACCCTGCCGACAGACTCTAACAAGTACCCACTTGCTACAGTTTAGAGTGAGCCACCAGAATCTACATAGCATGGTTAGAGTGCAACATTAGGGTTGTGAATGACTAGTCAAGGATCTGATAAGCAACTGACCAGTCAACTAGTCACTTCCCTCCCCCCCCTGCCCACTTGCTTGCTGCCTTTACCAGAAAGAGGTAGCAAGGGGGTGGGGGGGGATTTGAGGCAGCAGCATAGAGCCTGGGGTCAGACCCTGGGCTTCACATGGCACATGACTCCCCCACTGACACAGGCTCCATGCAGTGCTGCCGCTTTGAAACGCTGCACGGAGCACAGGGCCAGCGGGGGACCGCTTGAGTCCTCCTCTGACCCTGTGTTCCCTGCAGTGCTTTCATCTTTGAAGTATAGCAACAGCCCCAGAGGCTGTTGCTACACTTCAGAGATGAAAGCGCCCTTATTGATTAATCGAATAGCTGATGCAAATTGCATCGACTATTCAATTAGCCAAATAATCAAAATTTTACATCCCTATGCAACATGTTATAGTGCTTTAGGAATCATAACCCTCTAGCATGCTGTGCCAATACGCTATGCCAGCACTGGGAAAACAAGCCTTTAGTCTTTGTGTGCCTTGGGTCCGTAACTGCAAAATGGTGATGATAGTACTACTGCATGGGGGGCCATATGAGCACCTAACAGTTGTGGCCCAGTGAGCCAGTTTACCTCTATTATATTCACTGCTTTGCAGTATATTCTGCTTTATTATATTCAGCAGTAATGCAAGGAACAGGTGTCCTGTATCCTGTAAGACATTAGCTTTACAGTTAACATGAAGCTTGAGGCCAATGAACTTTGGCATAGATAAACTTCAGTAACTAATAAGTTATGAGGAACTGGAAGTAGGATGTAAGGGGGAGTTTTGTGCATATGATATCAGCTGACCACAGTACAGGCCCTGACACCAACTTCTGGAACGTTCTGGATGGAACATTTGACCCCAAATGTGCCATGGCAACGAAGTGACATATATGATAATGGGGTGAAATCATAGACATACTAACCTATAGAAAAAGGACACCTTAGCATTGGTAAGAGGAGGAAATACAAATAAGGAAGAAGGGAAAACCCACTACTAAATATGCATGATACATGGTAACACCAGTGTAATATATTATATTAACATATTAACATTGCATCCCAGAGCAACAAAGAGAGAGATGTTGATCCTGGGAGGGGCCAGAATGATGGCCACAGGTGAAGATGAGGAAGGTGAAGATGAGGAGGAAGAGAATGGCTAACATTTCCGATTGATCTGCAAGGGATGGTGTAAGGATGAATGTCTAAATGTATTATCTGTATTATTTCTGTCTACTTTGCTGAGTTAGTGTGTGTAACAGTACTGAATATGTAAATCAATTATTTATTTGAAAATATAAAAGTTTCTATAGTGTGAGTGTTGCACCTGTGCATATTGGGGTTCCAAACAATATAATAAAATAATAATAATAATAAAAATAAATACATTTAACTGGGCCTGATCTTGGGACTAAAAGTCCATGCGGCTCTCTGCTCTGAAGGTAGGAGGAGGCTTTGTGTGATCTCCCCACCCCCAGCCCATTCCTCAGCTCTCAACCAATAGAAGCTGAGAGATTGACCTGGGGGATGGGAGCAATGCAAGTCTCTTCCCCCTTCTGGAGCTAAAAGCCACATAGCGGTAGCAGTCTGCAGTTTCAAGCAGTCTGGGGCTACACCAGGCAAGGAGTCCAGCCTGTCCTGGGGGTGCTGTAGGGCTGCTGGTCAGGAGATTCTTAGGTAAGAATCTCTACCCAACTCTCTTCCTCCAAGAGATCACCATCCAAACCCTCTGCAACCCCTTGCCCCAAGTCACATCTTCCTCCCAGACCCTGTATTGCCTCCTATACCCCTCCCCCAGGCCAGAATCCTTTCCTGCACCCAAATACCCTCCCATACCCTGCACTTTAATCCCCTGCTCCAGGTCATAACCCCCTCCTTCACCCAAACTCCCTCTCAGACCTCACACCATCTGCTGCACCCCAGTTCCTTACCCCGTGCACTCTTCTGTACCATCCTCCATCCTAAACCCCACATATTCTCTACAGAAAAGTGTGGCCCTTGACCACTTTCCAAAATCTTGGAGTGGCCTGCCACCAAAAATTATTGCCCACCTCTGGGCTACATAGTACTAGTAGTAATGGGAGTTATATAAGTATTTAAGCCATAAAGCTGTGTTAAACAAAAAGGGATATTCTTGGCATCAGCATGTCAAGGGCAAAACTCCCATTGACTTCATTATAGCCAGGATTTCACTGAGTGCCTATGCTGGTCAGAAAATGGCTCTAACAGTATATTTTGTACTAATTTGGTATGCAGTTGTACAAAAATTCTGTAGTTAAAACTGGTTTGTTACTCTACAGAAATCAAATGACAGCTCCTAATGTAAGTGTGTCTTTAATCCTGTTCTCCCCAAGGGAGCTTCTGGATGAAAAGAAAAAGAAAATCTATAGCCTCCTCCTGAAGTGACATTTAGCACAATCTTTGGTATGTGGCCCATCAGGGTAATCTGCTGGCAGGCCACGAGACATTTTGTTTACGTTGACCATCAACAGGCATGCCCTCCCCAACCAGCCATGGTTCATCGTTCCCAGCCAGGGGAAGCTGAATGGGGCCATGACAGTGAACAGTAAACAAACAAAATGTCTTGTGACCCACCTGTGGATTACCCTGGTGCACTGTGTGTTGAGCATTATTAACCCCTGATTTAGAAAATGCCACATGGATACTATTATATGAAACATTTATCTGCAAATTTTTTTGCCTGGCCCAATTCTGAGAACCCTTTTATAAGTACATAGCCACAATGCTGCCACCTATGGACAGCATCCATTCACAAACTGCAAGAAATAGTACTTGTGCTCTTCAGACATAGGAAATACAAAATAGGGGTCAATGTTTAAAAGGTGTTTTTTGAGGGCAGACAATCTGGTGTAGTATGGCTGCTTTACATAGCACTGTGGCATAATCTAATTTTAAAACTGGCCAAGGAGATACAGGGCAGCTCCCTCCAGATCTAAAGTTTTGGTGGAATCAAAACATTCCTACAAAGCATTTATATTTAACGGAGTCAGTATTCTCACAAGGAAAATTATTCAAACAAAATATTGCATTGTGGCTTGTATTAGAGTAACCCTAAAGTTGGTTTTACAGCACAAAGGGGATCAGTTTGCACTGACCTGCACCAAGAAGAGCAAATGCAAGATTCAAACCACCTTTACACACCCACTCACTGCTGACATGTGTTCTGTTCATTTGGCTGCAGCAGAACATCTGCTCCAGGAACTTCTACCTTACACCATTTTTCTTAATTATCTTCTTGTCACAGATACTGAACATTTCTCTTATATTCTGTTCTACCTTTCCTACGGCTGCTCTTCTCTCACTGATCTCCTTCCTGTCCCCTCACTCAATTTGCCATTGTTAGTGGTGCAGGAGCCTTGTATCTTTGCCTCATTAATTCATATCAGACTTCAGCTGAAAACCTGTATATTGCTCTCTTTGGGTCTGCAAATTTTCTCTTCCTCCACTATGATTTGTCACAGCAATTGTGTTGTTTATCTCTGTAAAGGATACAGAGTTTATTGAATCACACTAAATAAAATAAAGTTACATTGCAAAGAGCACCATTCTGTTTTCCTGCACAAAATAAATAAGCTAACTTCAAGTTCCACATGATGGAATGCACATTTCCATGACAAATCATATTGTATTTGATTGAATTTATTTTCAAAGTACTCAGTACTTACAACCCAATTTAAAGCCAGTGGTCAGAACCCTGATAGATACATTTAAGTAAGAGGAATGAACATTTTCTCCTTTCCTAACAAAATGCATTTGCTAAGCAAACATTTGTTACAACACGTGGCTGACTCCAGGGAAGAATCTTTGGGATGGTTCTACCTATTAATGCTAAGTCTGAAAATCTCAGACTGTGAATGCAGCAATATATTGTTCCTCACTTGTCTATTCCATTTGAGTCACTGGCTAACGATTTTCAAAAGAATCTTCACCAGGGTGGATCAAATCTTTTAGCTTCAAGAGTTTCTTGATTTGTGGAGTTGTTTTGTATTAGTGATCCTTACACACACACAGACACACACACAGACACACAAAATGTGTCTCATGTTAGCATACTTGCAGCATACTGGGGAAGTGAAGGCTGTTGTGCCATCCTTCAATAAAGTGTAGAATGTGCTCTACTCTCCTTGAGGGTGACTGTGAGCTGAGAGAGAGTCCCACCCTTGGTGACCTCATGGAATCATAGTGAACAAAGCCAGTGATTGTGCCTGGCCCCAGCCTCTGTGCATGGGTGTGCACAGATGTAGAATGGTTCCTTGCACCTTCTCACCCTCCTGTGTAAGTGAATAGGATCTAACACTTTGCCATCAGCTGTAATAGAGGCATTCAGCTGAGCCGCATGGTTAAATAGCTAGCAAATGGGTTACTCCTATTCTTGTGTTTCACATCTTCCCCTCGCAGATGTTGCAACTGGTCATGACTGTAGCAACATCTGTCATGAGGAGTGAGCGATGAGAGAGCCCTCCAGCAAGGTCGATGCCCATCAAGACATGGTTTCACTAATTTTAACCATACAACCAAAGATGATGGTGAGCATTACTGACAAAAACGCAGTTTTAAATGCTGAAGCAGTGAGATGTGAGAGGGGTTTTAGCAAAAATCCAACAACTTATAAGGAAATTCAATTCCAAGATTTTACTTTGATTAGATGAAAACTTATCTTAAATATGAACTGATGTTTTATAGTATCAGGGGCCAATATGGCAAATTCATCTAAAAACTGAAGGTAGTTCAGAATGAGGCATTTCACTTGTTAAGCAGCATATCTCGTGATGGGCACACCTCTCCAGTACTTTGTGATCTCAGCTAGATGGCTACTGATTTCTGGGTGGAGTTTAGGACATCGTTTTTGACCTCTAATGCTCAACCTGCCAGGGAGACTACTTTCTCCCCATGCTATGCTACTATATTGGAGAACACTTGAAGAATTGAACCCAGATCCCTCTATGTATGTAGGACAGTGAGCTGTTAATTGGTTCTCTTGTGGAGAATGTCCTCAACTTCAGAATTCACTCTTCCACTGCATCCAAAGTTGCTCAAATCTGTTGACTATGAGCATGCTACAAAGCACATCTATTTTCAAAGGCTTTTGGGGAGGAAGGAGCATGGTGATTATGACACTAGTGAAATATTTTGGATTAATTACTCAGCTGCCTACATTCTGACTATTTTGCAGATATTTAGATGAATGGTACACTTCTATCTTGCCTAAAGATCCTAGCACATATTTTTATTTGGTATATAAATCAAAATAATTGTAAGCAATCTATAATTATGATTAACTATGAGTATTGGAAACACATCTCAGATTTAAAGGTACTGTAACAATTTTTTCCTCAACAGAAATAATGGCAATTAACCTTTCATAACCATTCTTCTTCAAGAAGTTTTGCTCATGTCCACTTCATGTTAGGTATGTGCCTAGAGGACCCACATATAGGATTGGCATAGGACTGCCATCTGATGAGCCTCTAGGGCGAAAAGTTCCGTGATGACAGGGGCTAATTACTCATGCTACTATGTACCTTATCTCTCAGTAGAACAACAATATGCACCAATTACAAAAACTGTAATAGCTATGATCACAGAAAAGTCCAAACCACTAGGAAAGAAGCCTTGCCATAGCAAGAAGGATCATTTCAGAAACCGTCATGGGCAATTAGAAGGAATTGAGAAGGTTTGGCGTTGGTAGCATGATCTCCCTGGTCCAAAATTTATTTACATTTAATATCATGTTCTCTTTTAAATATGTATTTCTTGCTGCAACAGATGCAAAGGTTCCCAATTTTACTGGGAATTTCTAGTGAAAACTTTATCCCTACCCTTCTCATTATTATTATTATATTTTTCCTGGAAACTGCTTGTAGAACATCATTAGCCCAAATGTTTCTGCTTTAGAGAAAAATAAAATGTGAAATTAGAGGTTCATGACACTGATTGCAGAAGCCGCCATAAAAGTGAATGTCTTTACATGTGACAATCATCTATGGGAGACAAACAGCTTAATAATGGTGGTGCCAGTGCCCATAGAAAAGATGCCTTGAAAATATATTTGTTCTCATCTGTCACTGGATGGTGGGCAAATGTACAAAATGAAGTGATTAACTTCAAACTAGAAGAAAAGAGCAATATCGACTTGTGATCATGCTATCCACAAGTGGCAGACTGTCCTACTTAGCAGAATTTTAAAGCAACAACTGCTCAGTCGTTAGCAACATCTGAAGAATTTTAAAGGGAAAAGGGATTAGAAACAACAGTAAATATTGATAGCCAGAAAGCTACTTCCACACTAGATACTGGATTACCAAAGTACTGTAGGCTTACACAGTATAACTGCATTAAATCAGAAATCTTCCTTATACCCTTCTTCCTCTTCTAAGTAAAATATAAATACATGCATATTAAATATATGCATAGTGCAGCAAAATTGGAAACGTATGTTCTATCGTCATAATGCCTATTTCTTTTCATGTTTACTCTGGTCAATATATACAATAATTATGATTGCACTGTATGTCCATTGTCATTAGCCTGAAATGTTTATCTTGCACCTCCTTCTTGATATAGATGTTCCTTCTGCGTTTTAAAATAAACTCGTTACACATAGCATCATAGGAATTTATGCCATAGTAACTGGCATGGAATTTTTACCAATCACATCGTTTTATCTTAGCATCTTCATGTATACTGGAAGTAACTGGAACATCTGTTTTGTGGTGAAATAAACTACTTGAAAATGAACATTACTCACAAGATGAACTAACCATCATTTCACCATTGCTCATGCATGATATTGTCTTTTAAATGTAGTCTGTTGGAACAGTTCTCTGGGCACACAGGATTGTGAGTTACAAAATAATGAAACATAAACCTGGTTGTACACTTATCTATAGTTATATTTTCTATGTAATAACATAGGTTTCCCTGCTACCTGCCTCAAAATTTAGTGCATTGCAGATCTGGCTGGTTTCTCAAAAAACAGGCTCCAAACTTAAAGCAGATCTGCTCCACAAGGGGTTTCCTCGGTGAATGAATATGGGATGCTTTTCCCACCACTGTGTTATACTAAAATCTGCCTTGTGATTCCATTCACACATAGGGTGAACTTGGACTTGTTGCAAAGTTCCTCTTTTACTTTTACATTCGTTTGATTTTTTGATGTTATCTCCGATGGTTTCCCATTCCAAGTCTTAATACTATATTGCAAAAGACTAAGCATTGCATCCCTGGCCAAACAGGGCAGGGTGAGAACTTTCCCTTACTCTAGGCCCATTACCTTCTTATAACTAATTTCACATAACATAGAACAGTTGGCTAAGCAAAGGTACAGTATGGCTTCTTTGGGATATCTGTTCAGTTAAACCTTTCCAAAGACTCCAGTTAAATCTGTACTGGTGTTGAATCAGATGTGGAAGCACCACAAACCTGGAACTGTACAATTTCAGACTTTTGTTAGAGAGATGTTTGTTATTATTCAAATAGAAATTCAGTTTTTTTCACTGGAATTCATCTTCCTGGGAGATCCGCAACAATATTATGTTAATAAAAAAAGCAAAAAAAGTACCAGGAAAGAAGAATCTAAGCTTTATAAAAACATACAGACAGCATCTTCTCCCAGTTCTAATTAATGTGATGATTTCTGATCCTTCTTATTGTCTTTATAATAGATAGAGAGAATACCAGCCACCCTTTCACTTACGTCTATCAGTTAAGGAAGATTAACTCAGCCCGTCTTCCAAAAATAAGGTTGACTAAATGAAAAGAAATTATTGTCTGTCAGATTGCAAGAAAAAGGTGAGGTTTAGGTTATAATGCATGGATAGGATAAGAAACAAGAGTGAAGTGACAGAAATGAAAAAGTGAAGTACATGTTAAATTGTTAATAGTCATGTGAGAGCCTAAAAAAATCAGAACTCTATAACATGACAACTTCTATGTTATATTTTGCTACTAATAATTACAGTATGTTAATAATTCATTTTTTATTAAAATTATCCTTCAGATTCAAGTTATGACACATTTTTGGTAGCTAAGAAGCTTCAGAGGGGTAGCCAAGTTAGTCTGTAATGGGAAATTTTTTTAACACAACTACTATTTGTTGTTTTTTACATTTTTCATTAGCTAGTGATGCTGTATAAAGCAAGAATAAGTGGGTCTTCATGAAAAGACAGTAGGAAATAATTGTAATAGGACTAGACCTGCATACATACCAAAAGACAAACAAAGGGCTAAATTCCCAGCCCCTGAACAAGGGGCAACACTTTGTTGCAGTCTCTAGAACAGACTGGAAGACAGGTTGCATCTCAGAGCGCAAGTAATTTGACTGAACCAAATTCATCCCTAATGTAACACCATTGACTTTAATGGAACTAGATCAGGGATGCATTTTAATTTATTACAAATGCTTGTGTATGAAACATACCATTTGTTAAACAGTACTAGTAACTCAACTGGTGGAATAGCATTATCTATAGGGCTGAGTCAGGCACAGAAATATGCTTTCAAGTAATTAGCACTTTTGTTTCCTATTTTTTCTAATTAATCACAGGGGTGATTTGCATGAAAGAGAAGAAACAGTGGCTACTCGTCATAGTCTATTATTACAGCTTAACTATTGCCTATGAGAGTTCAGAAAATGGTAACATTAGTGAATGGATGAGAACACATTGCAATCTAATTAAAACAAAGTCTTCTGCAATGCTATTCAACTGGGAAGAATTCTTGCAATAATGAAATAGCCATTTTTTAAAAAAGGGAGTAACATTAAATGTGTATTTCATTTGCATACTGATGAGAGGGGCAGTAACGCAAGCAAAAACTGAATACAAAGTAGTTTGATAGAAAAGGGTCATGCTATTATCTCTTTGAAATTCACTCAGGAAGAAGAGGTCATATAAAATACACAACTGGATCACAACAGTATAAATGTATTTGAAGGAATGGGTTACATACTCAAAATATTACCCATGAGACAATACTGAAAAGCAGAACTGCATTAATTTTCTTGTCACTCTAGGGCACAAAGCAATCTCTGTGTGCAAGTATGTTTTCTAGGAGCAGGATTCACCATGTAGATACAGAATATATGCTCCAAAACTGGCATATTTAGAGTTTAATTCTGAGACAATCAAAACTTCTCTGACAACTTCAACATGGATTTCGGGTTCATAGGGACTTAAATATTGGGTTAAGGAAATTCTGTCTCAGGTACTTTATATGGGACCATTACCATAGTATCTGAGCCGCTCACAATCTTGTAAAGTATTTATCCTCCTATGAACTAGGGAAATATTATTTCTGCTTTATACAGAGGGGAAACTGAGGCACAGAGTTTTAGGTTTTCATTCAGGTAGCTGTGAGGAATAAATACCGAGATCTTTACATGCAATTCAATTCTGGATGCAAACTATGCTGGTTCCATTTTTCTTTCAGGTGCAAACTACATAGCAGAAAATCCTTTGGATAATTTTGCCTATGATGTCAGGAAGTACAGAATTCAAAAATCCACAATTGGAGCCAATTTGTCTCTGTGGCCACATTTCACACAAATCATATCTTTATCCTTTGCCCCTAATCTTTTCTTGGTGCAACGAGAAGAGTCCCTGTTTACTATTTGTAAAGACAAAATATGCCTAATTTTTGGAAGTTTGAAGCCTAATGAAATCTCAGCTGTCCCTAATGTTTAACAGATGTCGGTTGATTCCCAGCAGCAGCTCTGAAGAGAAATCATAAAAGTTAACATGCTAAAACTGAAAACTCTAATTCACTAACTATCTCATCTTTGCCTTTTTCCAAAGAGAGGGATGTAAGACTTAGAAACCTCATTACAATGTTTTTCTCCCCACAGGGGTTTGTTTGAACTAATCTCTTGCCTCAGAAGTTTCTCTACCTCAGCTCCATGATTTTGGGCCTCTCCAGTTTTAAAGATATGGTACCAATCAAGGAGGAAGTAGAGTTGTAGTAACAGCCATACTCCATGTCATCATTTCTATTAAAATCTGTTGGGATTTCCTCAGGTAAGATAATTCTTGCCTTGTCAATATTATCACAGTTAACTTCCCATTTCCCACTTAAATCCCCTCCACAAAAGAGATTCTGGTTGAGCTGGAGAATTGGGGCACCAAGACTCCTAGAAGTGCTATGAAATCCAAGAAGAGTGAAATCATAGAATCACCATGTAAATGGTCTGCATGTTCCAAGATAAGGGGTATTTCCCCACAGACATCAGCAGGTCTGGGAGCTGGGAGTGCCACTCTATGAGAAACAAACCATCTCCCCAATGTATGTCTCCAACAGCTTCAAGCAGGAGTCTTACAATAAACAACTTATCACAGCTCTGCAGCATCAGTTTCTATGTAACAATCTCTCTATGAACTTATATGGCCCCAGTCAATGCAGACTCTGAACACTTAAGTTCTTTAGGCTTACAGCAACCTGATTTCTGGTTAGAAAAACACAAATGTAAATTCTACATTCATTGTATCCATTAACCATTCAGAGCTTCATTTAACAGTAGACGCTTGATATAAATTTCAACAATACTATCCTTAGATGCTATCCTAATAAGGCAACAATACTATCCTTAGATGCTATCCTAATAAGGCAACAATACTATCCTTAGATGCTTTAGAATTGGATTAATAAATACTGTCTATTGTTCATTTTCACTGAATACAAACAAAAAAGGCAATTTTAGGGAGCTTCCACTGCTCCTGTTAAGAATGTCACAATAGGTTAATATTTTTATAAAGTTCCACAAATAAAATAATTTAAAACTCATTGTTCAAGTTCCTTTATCACCTCTTGTAGAGGAAACCACCTCCATCTCCAGACTCATCTGATTCAGATACTTCCACTATTTTTTCATTAAGATCATTATTTGAATTATGTTCCCTATTTAATATGTTCAGTGGAATAACATGTGCATAATTTATTATTTCTTTGAGTACGGTTTTTCTACATCTCTTGCTGTCTTGACCCAAAACTACTTAATTTCTTACTAATCCCAAAAGTTCTAACTGTAGTCTGAATTTTGTTCTGCCTTTTCCTAATAACTACACAGTTCTTAATGAGAATATAGAAGACAGCTTTGGTAAATTGACCTTCTAGTAAAGTTAAGTCTAAAGCAGACAAACTGGCTGATTGAAGAGGCTGTGACAAAATAAAATAGAGTTTTTAGAGGACCCACATTTTGCTTCAATACCATGCAATTATCTGTATCTTAGCAGTCAACAAAAACTATAAACCAATACACACAAGCAAAATGACAGTACAGAAATCCTGAAAACATCAAGGGAAAACAAATCCATGGTCCCATTCACATGACAACTATAAGGAAAGTTCATTCATACATGCAGAGAATGAAGCTCATAATTCAGCATGTTCTAGGTCTATTCTGAAGTAATTTCTGATTACCATGAAATAAACAGAATTGGGCATCATACAATAATTAAATGAAAACCATATCAAACTCTTCTGGTTTGGGGCTTCTTTACTGTTTGGAACTTTAAGAATTGATGTTACCATTTGTGGTTATTGCATCTGTAACAACTGGAGGATTCTGGGATGCTAAGTTCAGACTGGTCAGGTGGCAGCAATTGCTACTGGGCTTTGGTTGGAGACAGAACCAAAGACTAAAAACAATGTTCAATGTTCTTAGGCATATAAGCATACATGTGTGCTAACTGTATTCCTTTTAATACTTTATATTGTTTGTTGGTGCTATCCTGAGCCAATTAACATTATTGTAGTTAATTTGGAAAGCATGACTAGATTTGATCCTAACAAATAGGGAGAAACTGGTTGAGAATTTGAAAGTGGAAGGCAGCTTGGGTGAAAGTGATCATGAAATCATAGAGTTCACAATTCTAAGGAAGGGTAGAAGGGAGAACAGCAAAATGGAGACAATGGATTTCAGAAAGGTGGATTTTGGTAAGCTCAGAGAGCTAATTGGTAAGGTCCCATGGGAATCAAGACTGAGGGGAAAAACAAGTGAGGAGAGTTGGCAGTTTTTCAAAGGGACATTGTTAAGGGCCCAAAGCAAGCTATTCCAATGTGTCGGAAAGATAGAAAATATGGCAAAAGACCACATTGGCTTAACCACGAGATCTTGCATGATCTAAAAATAAAAAAGGAGTCATATAAAAAATGGAAGGTAGGACAAATTACAAAGGATTAATATAGGCAAACAGCACAGGAATGCAGGGGCAAGATTAGAAAGGCAAAGGCGCAGAATGAGCTCAAACTAGCTACGGGAATAAAGGGAAACAAGAAGACTTTTTATAAATACATTAGAAGCAAGAGGAAGACCAAGGAGAGGGTAGGACCACTGGTCAATGTGGAGGGAGAAACAGTAACAGGAAACTTGGAAATGATGAGATGTTCAATAACTTCTTTGTTTCGGTCTTCACCGATAAGTCTGTAGGAATGCCTAACATAGTGAATGCTAGTGGGAAGGGGGTAGTTTTAGAAGGTAAAATAAAAAAAGAACAAGTTAAAAATCACCTAGAAAAGTTAGATGCCTGTAAGTCACCAGGGCCTGATGAAATGCATCCTAGAATACTCAAGGAGCTGATAGAAGAGGTATCTGAGACTCTAGTTATCATCTTTGGAAAATCATGGGAGACTACAGACCAGTTAGTTTAACTTCTGTGCCAGGGAAGATAACGGAGCAAGTAATTAAGGAAATCATCTGTAAATATGGGAAAGTGGCAAGGTCATAGGGAACAGCCAGCACGGATTTGTAAAGAACAAATCATGTCAAACCAATCTGATAGCTTTCTTTAATAGGATAACGAGTCTTGTGGATAAGGGAGAAGCGGTGGATGTGGTATACCTAGACTTTAGTAAGGCGTTTGATACGGTCTCGCATGATATTCTTATCAATAAACTAGGTAAATACAACTTAGATGGGGCTACTATAAGGTGGGAGCATAACTGGCTGGATAACTGTACTCAGAGAGTAGTTATTAATGGTTCACAATCCTGCTGGAAAGGCATAACAAGTGGGGTTTTGCAGGGGTCTGTTTTGGGACTGGCTCTGTTCAATATCTTCATCAACGATTTAGATATTGGTATAGAAAGTACGCTTCTTAAGTTTGCAGATGATACCAAGTTGGGAGGGGTTGCGACTAATCTGGAGGATAGGGTCATAATTCAAAATGA